ACAACGGCAGGGAATCAAATCCCGCAGTGCCAGACGTGTTCCGCTGCTGAAGCCAGTGCATGTCCAGGCCCGTCTGAAGTTTGCCAGAGAGCACATGGATGATACAGCAGAGGATTGGGAGAATGTCATGTGGTCAGATGAAACCAAAGTAGAACTTTTTGGTATAAACTCAACTCGTCGTGTTTGGAGGAAGAAGAATACTGAGTTGCATCCCAAGAACACCATACCTACTGTGAAGCATGGGGGTGGAAACATCATGCTATGGGGCTGTTTTTCTGCCAAGGGGACAGGACGACTGATCCGTGTTAAGGACAGAATGAATGGGGCCATGTATCGTGAGATTTTGAGCCAAAACCTCCTTCCATCAGTGAGAACTTTGAAGATGAAACGAGGCTGGGTCTTCCAACATGACAATGATCCAAAACACACCGCCCGGGCAACAAAGGAGTGGCTCCGTAAGAAGCATTTGAAAGTCCTGGAGTGGCCTAGCCAGTCTCCAGACCTCAACCCCATAGAAAATCTGTGGCGGGAGTTGAAAGTCCGTGTTGCTCGGCGACAGCCCCAAAACATCACTGCTCTCGAGAAGATCTGCATGGAGGAATGGGCCAAAATACCAGCTACTGTGTGTGCAAACCTGGTAAAGACCTATAGTAAACGTTTGACCTCTGTTATTGCCAACAAAGGTTATGTTACAAAGTATTGAGTTGTATTTTTGTTATTGACCAAATACTTATTTTCCACCCTGATTTACGAATAAATTCTTTACAAATCCTACCATGTGGATTCATGGATTTTTTTTTCACATTCTGTCTCTCACAGTTGAAGTGTACCTCTGGTGCAAATTACTGACCTCTGTCATCATTTTAGGTGGGGGAACTTGCACAATCGGTGGCTGACTAAATACTTTTTTGCCCCAGTGTATAACTGTATTTTCTGCTTTGGTTACATATAAAAAAAAAACCCATCCCACACAGCCAATTATCCTACACTAGAATAAATAAGTACTAGATGAACAATGAAATGACAGAAAGGCTCTTGATTTTCCACTATAGAAACGTCATTTTTTACAATAGGTACACAATTAAAAAAGCATTTTTCTCTCAAGCAGATGATCATACCAGCTAATTATTGGATGATTTCTGTGTGATGTCAGTGCCTGAAGATGGAAGACACAAACTCTAATTAAGATTAAGGGTCTAGAACACACTCATTTAAGACAGTCTTTTAGAGTTTAAGGCATTCTACCTATTGTAGAATTAGTTTTTAAACCATGACAATGTATGGTTGCACTTTATACCATAGAACAATATATATGAAAGTATTAAAATTATGACCTATGAAAACATTGAAGTAAAAGTGACTAAACACTTTTTCGGCTTTGTGGACACTTTTTCTGATGTTTTTTTTTTTTAAATACTCACTAATGATAGTTTAGTGAGTGAAGTATTTCCAATGCGAGATACTATGAGTTTTTGGTTAGACTCTATAATACGGCTTGTGGCTAAGGCTGTAATTCCACTATAATGAAATGGAGTTCAATGTATTTTATTTGAAATTATGACGTAATTATATTTACTTTCAAATAGTTAAAGGTAGGTACACTAAAATAAGAGGGTAACAAGTCAGGTTACAGGAAACAAAGACATAATTTTACTGTAAGTAAATTTAAATAGTGCGTAATTTCTCTGTTATTTAACACTAGAACACTATAGGCCATGTTATAGAGTGGCTTAACCTTGACCATCTTCTAGGTGTTTTACAGGAAAGGAGACACTAATTAAACTGTAATTTTAAGTACAATGTAACAAAAAAAGACAATTGAATAACAGAAAATTCATAATGAATATTAAATAAAAATGTTTTAAAATAAATGCTCTTCATAATAAAGCTTTTCTGCTATATTTTCAGGAAATTACCCAGATTTAAAATTACTGACAGTATAATTTGTGTCTCCTTTCCTGTGAAATACCTGCAAGTTAGGCAAGGTTAAGCCACTTTATGACATGCACCCCAAATATAGCATACCAGCACCAAATTACAGAGAAATTCTGCAGTAGTTAAAATGACTTACAGTGTCAGTCTAAACCTGACTTGTTACCCGCCTGTAATAGTTTACTTGCCTGTAAGTACTTGTATATAAACATATTTCTGTTGTAATTTCTAATAAAATATAATCCAATTCCATTTAATTACAGGGGTTTAACATCCTCATATTATAAAGTGTTACCAAGTTTTTAATATCAACCATCTGTTTCTTTTGGCGTGAACAGAGGAAAGGTGAAGTTGCAGTGGTTTGACAGAGTAATGGTGAATACTGGGCAATCACAGATTCCCCTGCAGCTGAGATCACACCATCTTCTTCTCTTCTACTCAGCAGGTGACCTCTCTGGACAGACTGCTGAATCCCCCGCCCGAGTCCCGCTGTCCTCGAGGATCACCTTTTTTTATTGACCTCTAGTGACCTGTGTCACCCCCAAAGCCTCTGGTCTGAGTTGAGGTCAAGCCTTTTTCATTTCCTAAAGGGCTAAAGATTGAGCAAAAGCCCTCTTGTTTTTCATAGCTGATTGAGTGCAAAAGAGCTTCATTTCCAAAAGAGCTTTTATTTAGTTTTTATGTTGCACAGCCAGTACATGATGTAACCACTGTGGATAACAGTAAGACACCCATAAGTCAAGTTTTATGAATTGCAATCAGCCCTTGTGGTGACCTTTCTAAGTGGAAACATGTAATGTGTCAAGTGTAATGCAATTAGATATCTACAGGTGCATAAAAAACGAGGAAAGAATAAGAAGTCACAATTATAATAGATAGATAATAGAGAGTTATAATGATGCTATCTATTCTGCTTGGTTTTTAAGAGAGACAAAAAACAGTAATTTGAGAAAATGCAATGCAGGGTATGAAATAACCTCACTGACCCAGAATTTTGGGACTAAAGTAATGACGGGGCCCAGTGTTCGTTACGGTGCTCTGAAAAATTAGAATAATGGACTATGGAAGAATGAGGAATCCAAAGAAAAGGATGGGGGAAGAAAGAAGGTATTTGGGGAAAGAGGAATAGGAAGACAGAGAGAGAAAGAAAAAAGAGAGGAGAACAGTGAAATGGACAGAAAATAAGAAGAAGAAGAGGAGAGAGAGAGGGGGGCAGCAGTGGTGTTATCATCAGCTCTCATTCTCAGCATGGAATCTATAATGGGAAAATCAACCTCTCTGACTCCTGTGTAATTGGATTTGCCACATCTCGTGCTGAATCAGAGCCCAGTGGGTAGCACAAAGCTTGTTAAGATTGGACAAGCATTGCTGGGCTGAGGAAAGGTGGGGCAACGGCAGAGGTAACCTTGACAACTTTTCTGTGGTGGAGAGTGAATAATTCAATATGCTGAACACTCAACTGGTCACACATTACAGCCGACTGACTGAAAGCTTTCCAAACATTAATCAGTTCATAAATGTGGTGAAACCTGAGCTTTTATCACATTTAGGTCGTCGCAGCAGAGAAAATGGACACCTGTGTTTCCTTGGAAGGGGCATGTTTTTCTAACACTGGTTACTAGGTTACAGAGGTAAACCCGGTATAATTCACACCTGCTCTGGCCACATATGCAACCACTACTTTAAGGCATGACAATTCTATTTCATTTACTTAGTATTCACAGTGAATTAGAATTTCCTTTAAGTGTGGCTATCCATTACTTTCTCCCTATCCACTGTCACCAGGTGATAATTGAAAAACTTAATCTAGTTTCTTTTGTACATTTGTGCCATTTATATTTATAGTCAGGTGAGTAGCTGCAGTGTTCTTGAGATAGCAAATGTGGCCAGATGCAGTTTTGTAATATATAATTTGCCCTTATAGCCTTCATTTTATTTCATTTCAACTTTTTGCTTTCAATTCATATTAGTTTCAATACAATAAACATTACAATAAAAACAGATATTTCTGAAAGCAGACATTCAAGTGTCAATAACTATGTCTATCAAAGCCAAAAAAAATAAATTCAGATAAAAGATTTTTTTTTTTTTTTTTACCAAACTGACGTACACTACAACTAAGGATATTTCCTCCATGTTTTAAATGTGTTAATAATTCGTTTTTTAAGTTTAAACAATCATTTCAGTTCAAAGGTCTTTTCTTTTCTTTTTATTGATTTTATTTAACCAAAGTGTTTTTCCACATCTAGTTTAAGTTTAGGTTTGGTTTTAGTTAACCGTAATAACCTTGGTTGGATGGTAATATTTTATTGGATGTGCACAGATCTGATGATTTCATTTAGTACAGACAAGTAATGTTGTGTTTTGGTAGTCTCCAAAACAACTGGATGAAGTGTAAGTTGACTTTATGTCACCCGGTGACCTTTGGGTTTAAACAGATGACTACCAATTGAAGTTCTCACAGGTCAGCTCATTGTTGCCCTACCGTTGTTTGTGTTGTCACTCATTTCCTGTCACTTCAAGTCTTTCAGCTCTCCAACACAGGCAAAACAATGCAGTCATTTAAATTCTATCGTCTTTAATTAAAGGTGCTGATAATTGTTTTCACTGAGGCAAAAAGTGTGTTAATTGCATTTGGGCACCAGCCTAGTAGAATTTTACAAAAGCACAATTAACACCAGCAGCTCAGGCAGTAGCTCAGTAGCAGTGGTGCTCCCCTGAGTAACATTGTTATAATGAATACTAAAGAAGTGGTGATTAGTCTGTAAACGTTCCCACCTAATCAAAGATCAGTAACCAGACCTGGAATGTGCCAGTTAGAAGAATGGGGCCTTTTTTACTGTTGGTAGTGATGTAATGGAGTTTAGATGGAGTAGTTTGGATCTTGGATCTTGTTTCTGTATTGTTATGTTACACTCAGTAGAGCAGTAGATACCCAGGTAAACGCTGAATAAGATCTCTCTGTCCCTCCACCTACCACAACATGAATGATTAACTACTCAGCCCACAGAGCCCTTTGCCTGAGCCTGGTTCAGCATGATGTGGAGAAACATATATGTGCACCAGCTTCCACACAGCATCACCAGCATAGTACTATTACAGCATGCTGCACCAGTGAGCTACTAGCTAAGGGTGTTTTTTCCTATTTACATTATAGAGTCCTGACCTTTAGCAACTAACTTTCAAGAAGCCAGTCCTTCGCTGATTACTTCAATGCAAGCAGACACAGGAGGATACACTATTTTTGTCTCACTTCAGTAGGAGGGGGGGGGCCTTGTTTGACTTTGGATCCTCACTGAGTTTCTGCACCTGGCTGCAGCAATAATACAGCTTCAGAATGCAGGTTTGGCTTTTCTCTTATGCTGTAACCATTGCTGTGTGTTCTCTTCATCACAAGGAGTTTTAAAGTAACCCTGTGTGTTGTGAGTGGTGTTGAGGCCTGGCCTTTATTTCTCACAGTCACCTAAAAGCTAAGATAATCAATTCAGTGAGTTTGGAGGTAACAAGATATATTCTTCTTAGCAAAAAGGTGTAAAATATCAGTTTTCATTTCTTTTCATGAGCAAAGGGATTCATGTTAAGAGGGGTTGGTAGACAGATTTGGTAGCTTGATATTCAGCATGCAGGTCTAAAAGCGGTCTTACTCATCTCATCTAAGTCTTGCTAAATGATGGTTTAGGAGAAAAAGAGCCATTGTGAGATAAAACTGTGCTAAGCTAACAGGAAGTATTATTGTGATTAAGTGGAGCTGTTCTTTACTGGATGTGAAAGTTTCAACTGCAACCCTCTTTAAAGGGGAGATAACTTTTTTCTGTAAGTTCATAAATTGTCCTAGCAGCTGCTCCCTTCCTCATCTCACCGATGAGGTCACTGTCTCAGGCACCACTGACACTCTAGACCAAGATGAGGAACCATCTCTTAATTAAAATACAATTGGTTGCACTCTGAAGTAGCAAAGCAATTCACCTGATCTGACAGCGAGTTTAGGGATTCATTACTTAATCCTTCTTTCCACTGTGCGTCAGATTGTGCCATCTATTGTTTAATTATAAGTATCTAGTTCTGTTTCTAAACTGTCCCCCCCCTCTCTCTCCATATATATGTGGAAAAACAGAGTTACAAATAACACAAGGATGAGGGGAATGCTTTCAATAATTAGGCGCTTCTTTCAGCTCAGACTCTAAGGATTTAGCCTTTCTTGCATAGTGTCATTAGGAACGCTCCCGCTTGCTGCAGACAGCTTTCTTAAAAAGAAATACCTGCAGAACACCAAAGGAAGCCTGAATGGAAACCAGCAGACCTTTAGATTTAGTCCAAAAATCTAAAACATTAGCATTATTATCATGGCTGAATGCAATAATCCTTCTCTTGACAGGAGCTTATCTGTTCATGTTATTACTTGTAATACTGTATGGCAGATCTCTAAGTCACGCTGTCCCAGCACATTGTCTGCTTGTGCTGCCCTGAGAGAAGTTTGTTCCCATGAAAGAAGGGGGTGTCAAAGATACCCCACAGCAGCACCACTACCATCACAGTGCCAGATTGATTCTGACGTCCAAAAAAGAGTTCCTTCAATGATATTGTTCACCTGTCTCATTGGCTTAAAGTGGGTGGGTGGGAGGTGGGTGAGGGGGGCCGGGTGAGGGTTATTGGTGGGGACACGGGGTGAGGGGTATTGTTGCCGAGAGGGGTGAGAGCACTGGGGGTCGGGGGCTGACAGGTGGAAAAAAAAAAACAACAACAAAAAAAACCCCACTCTCATCTGACTAGCCTCCTCTATCCTTCTTTGAGGCCCCGTATGAGCAAAGTAATGAAGTCCAAATTACAGCACAAGATTGCTAAGAACAAGCCTCTATTGTTTGGCCTCGGGGCACACTAAAGCACACTAAATGAGTGTCACAGCAAGCAGCGGGGCACAGACCGTTAGTGCACTATTTAGTCTGTCCCGTTGTCTCAAGACAGCCCCGTTTCAGAGGTTCTCAGATCAGACAAATACTGCTCCCCTCCTCCCGCACTCCTTTCGCCTTCGCCCTTCCTCTGTACAGCGAACCCCTCCCCAACTCCTCACCCCAAAGTAGGCCAAATCTCCTCTATTGTGTTTCGACTGCCTAGTGTGAAATTCACTGTGACGTTAAATGTTTTCTAATGAATAATTACTGAATGGTTATGCAGGGGGAATATGTGTAATGGATTGTAGACTGCATTTTAAAGACGTCTTTTTTGTCTCTGCTCCGTGGTATTTACAGGACAAAAACACTTGGCCTTTCTCAGAAGAAACGAGGGCCATAGGCGGAGGATAGAGGCAGGGGAGGAGAGTGGGTTGGTGGGGAAGAGAAGGAGGACTTTGTGTCAATTAGATCCAATGGATTATCTTTTTTAATGTTTTACAGAGAGAGCTGAGAATCAAAGGACTTCTGCTTCCAAAGGAGAGAGAGAGACAGAGAAAAAAAAACACAAAACCAACAAAAGCTGTGAAAACCTTTGGTCCGAGTGTTGGTGCTGCGAATGCAAAACAGATTGGTGGAATTTTTTTCCCACTACGCTTCTTAAATGTGCCGCTGTTTCGGGCTCCCCAAGTCCATTTGCACAGTGTGTTGTGTTTGGTTGGTGCGTCAGCTCAAGTGAACCATGGGCTGCCAGCCAAGGTCCCTGTGCGCCGTGTAGCGATCATTATCTTCTGTCTGTTCATCTGCACAATCACAGACCTTAGCTTCAAAGACACACAGGACCTCTGGACCTCTTGCTTCAATAGAACTAAAGGACACCATGTTTGTTCTTTTTACGGCACTTTTTTTGTGTTGTCCTCCCGCTTGGAGCCATTAATCCAAACATTCAAACATCCAGCTGCAGTTGTCAAAACACATGACTGAAAATTCTGATATAATGTTGTATATGCACAACATGAAAATGTTACTTTTGCTCTAAACTTTGCTCATCTCATTAATATGGGGGAAAATAATAAATAAAGTAAAACTGTCCCTGTGAAGCACAGAATATGCGGCTGTGTTGCAAATTTGTTTTAGACATATACATTTTTGGAAGTAAACACTAGAAATGTCACTTTTCTTAGTGCATTCAGCTGCTATGTTGTTGCTACAACTTGTTGCACAGGGTCAGCTAGACATGGAGGGTGCCCTGACTGCCAGGGACCGTGTGGGAATCCAGGATTTTGTACTGCTGGATGAAACCACGGAAGCTGCCTTTCTGAGCAACCTCAAGAAACGCTTCAGCAAGGATCTCATCTATGTGAGTACAATTTAAACCTTACGTTCACACGTGGCATTTTCTTTGCAAAAAATTTGATGATTTTTAACTCATTCTTTTAGACTTACATTGGAACGTTGTTAGTCTCTGTCAATCCATATAAAGAGCTGGACATCTACAACAAGAAGCAGATGGATATCTACATGGGTGTCAACTTTTTTGAGCTGCCGCCCCACATGTGAGTTTGTATACACACGCTTTTTTTGGTGCACCTGTTTACACCAGTAAGTCTAAACTTCATCCTACTCCTTTTCCAGCATAAACATTGTGTAGACATGGAGATAATCACGAAAACTTGTTTTTAATTTTTCTTTTCTCTTGTTATTCTAGTTATATTTGCATATTCAAAATAAAATCAACAGCATCACTCAGTTCCTGCAAAATTGTCGGCAGCACGTCCATGATGGGAAACTCACGTTCCACCACATCTTAAATGTGCTGTATGGGATTGAGACCTGGTGACTGTGGAGGTCATTTATTGCAGTGTTTAATAAATCAGCGTGAGATGATTTGAACTTTGTGACATGGTGTGTTATCCTGCTGAAAGCACCCATAAGGAAATGAGCCCACTCCTGTGTTCTTTCAACTGAAATAACTCCGAGTGCAGTTCAAAGTTTACTACTGAAATACTGTAACTGCTCTGCAACCCAACAGTTATGCCTTGGCGGATAATGCGTACCACACCATGCTGACAGAGTTCAACAATCACTTCATCCTCATCTCCGGTGAGAGCGGAGCAGGAAAAACAGAGGCCTCCAAGAAGATTTTGCAGTATTATGCCGTCAGCTGTCCAAGCACCACTCTGCTAAACACAGTCAGAGACAAAATGCTCATGTCCAACCCCGTCCTGGAGGTTTGATGGTTACTGCATGCTGTAGAAGTGCATTGACATATAGTGAAGAGGGACAGATCATCAATTACTCTGAATTATTTGACTTTTTTCCCCCCCACAGGCTTTTGGAAATGCCAAAACACTAAAAAATGACAACTCAAGCCGATTTGGGAAATATATGGACATCCAGTTTGACAGCCAGGTAAGGATCAGATGCTGTATTCACAGAATAGGAAAAAAACATAGCTTACTGTTGTTTGGTGCCTTGAGTGTAGTTGGTTGTGGTGTGATTATTTTTGCTATACAAGACAAAAAAAGTTGTAGCATGAGTACAAACAACATTACATGAAGCCTGAAAAACATCAAGTTGGTTCCAGATTTATTTAATTTATGTAAAAAAACGACGACTGCTTAACAAAAGTCAACTTTACTGAAACAGAAGGAGATTCTTTATCCTAACCAGTTTTCAATCTGGCCACTGGACCATAGGCTGTGTTTTTTCTGCAAGTTGTAGAGCTGCTGTCTTTAGGATCATGATGCCCATAGGGGGATGCTGTTGGAGGCCATATCCTGAACTACCTGCTGGAGAAATCAAGGGTTGTGCATCAGAATCACGGGGAGAGAAACTTTCACATCTTTTACCAGCTGGTAGAGGGAGGATCAGATGACTTGCTGCATCAGCTGGGCTTGGAGAGAGGTTGCCAGCATTATAACTATCTAACACAGGTACGCATAAGTCAGTGGGCTTTGTTGTTAACATAGAATCTGATAAGAAAGTAGAACACTTTCAGAAACAGTGTTTTTTTCTATGTTCATTGTTTCTGACAGGGGCAGTGTCCCATTGTGCCCTCCATTAATGACAAAAACGACTGGAAAACAGTAAAAAACGCACTTCAAATCATCAGCTTTAATGAGACTGCCACCAATGTGAGTTGGATGCTGTTGCAGATGGCTTCATTCACAGCAGTCAGTCTTGCTTATAAATTATAATTTTGTGCAGCACTTGTTTGAGGTCATTGCAAGCGTTCTCCACCTGGGGAATGTGCGGTTTGACTCTGATAGTAAAGGTCACGCCCTCCTGAACAACAACACAGAGCTGCACTGGGTCTCAAATGTAAGAAAGTAGAAAATATAAATTCTTTACCTATTCATTAAGCATATCAATAAGCTTTTTAATGTTTAGTTTTCTTCACAGCTGCTAGGAGTGGATGCACACAGACTTCAAGAGGGCCTAACATTCAGGAAGATTGAAGCCAAAAAAGATCAGGTTCACATTTGCTAAAACATTCTTTAGTTTTAACAATAACAGACTTGTGTTTCTGTTTAAACTATAAACTCAGGTATGATGCTTTGTTACTCTAAAAGGTCCTCAGCCCTTTCACAACTGATCACGCCATCTATGCCAGAGATGCCTTAGCCAAAGCTATCTATGGGCAGACCTTCACCTGGCTGGTCAACAGGATCAACGAGTCAATGGAGAACGAAGTGACTATAAGGATGTATTTCAAATGACAAATCTCACCTGCCAGGATGTGTTTTTATACGTTTTTTCTCTTTCACTAGGACCCTTCACGAAAGACTGTTATAGGGCTTTTGGACATATATGGATTTGAGGTTTTCTACGTAAACAGGTAGGTGTAATCTTTCTGTGTTTTTTTCTTTTTAATTTCAGCTGCTTTTGCAAGCTGATAGCTGTTTTATTTACCTTATAATCTTTATGAAACCTGCAAACTTACCTTTCACCTCTTTCTTGATCCTTTCCCTCAGTTTTGAGCAGTTCTGTATAAACTATTGCAACGAGAAGCTGCAGCAGCTTTTCATTGAGCTGACACTAAAATCGGAGCAGGAAGAATATGAAGCAGAGGGCATTGAGGTAAACCCCCCTCTCCCCAGCAAACAAACAAGCAAACAGACGGACGTGCAGAAAACATATAAGCGGCTGCTTTTTTTCACGTGCTTATAACTGTGTATTTCTCATCTCTTTTTCCACCAGTGGGAGCCAGTTCAGTTCTTCAACAATAAGATCATCTGTGATCTAATCGAGGAAAAACACACAGGAATTATATCATTACTGGTGTGTATGTTCACACTGGGATGGCCATTTATAACTGTTTTAAAAATACTGCTCAAGATTATTCACAATGATTATTTTGCAGGATGAGGAGTGTCTAAGGCCAGGAGATGCCACAGATCTGACCTTCCTGGAGAGACTGGAAGAAAAGATGGGGAATCACCCCCACTTTGTCACGTGAGTAATGACCTAAAATACACACACACACACACACACACACACACACACACAACACATCACACACACACACCACACCACACACACACACACACATACGCTCAATCGAGTATAAATAAACACACACAGTACACGAAACGAACAACATAAATAGAATTGACATTGACACTGTATGCAGCACCAGTGCTTATTTCTCTGACTCCAAGAGATCTTGAATGCTCCTGCTCTGATCCTGACTGACTCTAAGAGAAACGAACAGTCTTACGCACTGAATCAGCCCCATGCATCCCACTTATATCTATAAACAGGAGTGCTGGTTATTCCAAAGTCACAATAAAGGTTGTTTTTTGTTTTGATAATGTTGATTTGTGACTTCAAAAATAACAACATTTAGCGTAATTAAATACACTGTCTATCTACTGTACAATTCAAAGCCTTTCCTCGGCTCTAAAGTCTGACTCCTTTCATTGGTGTTCTGTTGACTGGTGGCCTGTGAGGGAGTCGACAGTGAGCCGATAGAGACGGAGGATTAGGATTCGACTATAAAGCCTCTCACTCTTCATCCCTCTGTCTCTCTCCACCTCTTTGACTCCAGGCACAAACTAGCTGACAAAATGACACGTAAGACTCTGGAGAGGGGAGATTTCCGTCTCTTGCATTATGCCGGGGAGGTCACCTACTGTGTTGTGGGTAAAGAAAACCACAGTCTCATCCCCTGTGACTCAACCATTTAAACCTTTTTGCTTTGAACTGACATCCCTAAGACACTGATATTTTTTTTTATGTTAATCTAGGTTTCCTGGACAAAAACAACGACCTACTATATAGAAACATAAAAGATGTAAGTCTACAGCTGATATTATGTCAGATAAAGACGTGTTTTAGACTTTACTGTAAATAGCAAAAGATGGGGGTATTTTCTCAGTATTTGATTAATTATGGTTAAAGTAACTGCCTAAATCTGTGTGTTAATGTGTGCTTGTGTGTCGCTCCACCTTCTCAAAGCTTATGTGTCAGTCTAAAAATGACATAGTCAAAGAGTGCTTCTCATCCATGGATCCAGACAGCAGGAGAAGACCAGAAACAGTACGTTCGCCCATGTTTGACCCTCCATATCCTTCATCCATAACATCTAACCTAACTGCTGAGGGGAGTCAGGCGGAAAGGACATTGTGACCCTTGTGTTGTGTTTGCAGGTGGTGACTCAGTTTAAGAGCAGTCTGCAGAAGCTGACAGAGATCCTCGTGGCTAAAGAGGCCTGGTACATACGCTGCCTGAAATCTAACGAGTCCAAGCAGTCAGGTAACTTAACTAACAAAAGGTAGATGTTAATGACACAGAAATGTTTGAATAAGACCAAATCAATCGTGTATTTATCGTTACATCACAGGTCAGTTTGATGAAGCACTGATCAGGCATCAGGTGAAGTACCTGGGTCTGATGGAGCACCTCAGAGTCAGACGAGCTGGTTTTGCTTACAGACGTAAATACGACGTTTTTTTGAAGAGGTATAAAGGACCGTAGAGTTTCTCAATTTCAGGGAAATTTATGTTTTAAATGTAAGCTCTAGGTGAACTGAGCGGCTTCTTTCGAGCACAGTTTGTTTGGCTCATCTTACAGATATAAACCATTGTGCCCAGCCACCTGGCCACACTGGAGAGGAGTAGCCGCCGATGGAGTGGAAGTGCTGGTTCAACATCTGGGCTACCTGCCAGATGAGTACAAAATGGGACGGTGAGGAAGTCTTTCTCGTTACCTCAACAAATCCAGCTTATGCGAGGAATCACAAAAGTACAAGTTGCTGATTTGTTTATTGCAGGACCAAAATTTTCATCCGTCACCCCAGGACACTGTTCGCCACAGAGGATGCTTATGAGAAATGCAAACATGAACTGGGTGAGTGTCAACTGCCTTAGACCTTCAGTCATCCCGTCTCACAATCAAGCTGATTTATATTTTTTGCTCTGGATTTGCAGCAACACGCATCCAGGCAAAATACAAAGGCTACAGGGCAAAGGGAGAATACAGAAAACAGAAAGAAGCTGGTAAATGTCACAACATCCAGAATGATAGAAACAGTTTTTGTTAGCAATAAAAAAATATTAGATAATGTCTATTTTTAATCTCCTCAGCCACTAAGATTGAATCTTGTTGGAGAGGAACACAGGCTAGGAAGGAGAAGGAGAAGAGAGCCTGGGCGGTAAAAGTCATCAAGAAGTAAGTAAAACACGTAAATATCAAAAATAAAAAAAGCCCCCATCAGTGTCTCTGTTACATTTGAACTGATCCTGTTCTTTGCCACACATTTCAGATTTATCAAAGGCTACATGACCAGAGGGCAGGCAAAAAACACAGATAACTCAGAGTACCTGGCCTTCGTGAGGCAAAATTACCTGAACAGACTTAGAGACAACCTGCCAAAGACCGTTTTGGATAAAACCCCCTGGCTAACTCCACCAGCTGTGCTCACAGAGGTGCTATAAGTCATATAACAATGAAACAGAGAAACAAAATCAAGCAACTGTTTCTAATACTAATGCATTCATAACTGTGGTCCTTTTTAATTTTTCACACTGTATTTGAATCAAGTAAACATTGAGTTACATAACAAAAAATGTCACAAGTATTTTATAGAATGAGATATGTGTGTCTTATATGTTCCTATAAGTTTCTCTATTTATTTCAATGTGAGAATACACTCAGTGGCCACTTTATTAGATACATCTTGCTTGCCCTGTTGCCTTTGAAACTGCCTTCATCATGGCACAGATTCAAAAATTTCTCTGAGATTTTGGTCCAGTCTGAGATGATCTTTCAGGAGATTGGTACATGTTGGTCATAAAGGGATGGACATGATCAGCAACAACAATAAGATGATTAGCTCTGTCTGACAGACCCAAAGTTCCCCACACCATGACGCCACCACCAGCCCGAACTGTTGATACGAGGCAAAATGGATCCACGCTTTCATGTTGTTTATGCAAATTTCTTTATGTGAAAGTAGCGTCAGAAATTTAGGTTAATCAGAACATGCAGCTTTTTGTCAGTTTTTATTGTCTAATGTTTAACACCGATGAATACTGCCACCTCAGCTTTCTGTTCTTAGCTGACTGGGTGGCACCCACTGCGGACTTCTGCTGCTTTAACCCAACTGCTTTAAGATTTGATATGTTGTGCATATCTTGATTGTAACAAGTGGTTATTTGGGTTACTGTTGCCTTCCTATCCGCTCGAAGCAGTCTGGTCATTTTCCTCTGACCTCTAGTATCAATGAGACATTTTCACCCAGAGAACTGCCACCCACTGGATATTTTCTCTTTTTCTGGTCATTCTCTGTAAACCCTATGGATGTTATTAACAAAATCCCAGTAGATCATCAGTTTCTGAAATGCTCATACGCCATGTTACACTGAAACACACTTAAATCATCTTCCTCCCTCACTGTCATGCTCAGTTTGAACTTCAGCAGATAGTCTTCACCGTGTCTGCATGACTAAATGCATTGAGTTGTATAAGGTGCACTTAATAAAGTGGCCAGTGAGTGTATGCTCTTTTTTATTTCCACATAGCAATATATATAGTAATAACGACTAATCAACTTAAATGCAAAACTGACTGAATACAGCTTTTATCTTGACCTTGTGGTGAAGAACTGATTTCGTTCTTCATTAGACATCAGAGATGCTGCGTAAGCTTCACTACCGTCTTATGGTGCGGAAATATGTGCGAGGAATCACACCGCAGAAGAAAGCACAGGTAAGCCACATTAAAGGGCAGTCTTATTCTCTTTGTAGTCATCACAGTTAAATTTTCCATTCCTTTTTGCCCCTTCAGTTCGAAATGAAGCTGATCACCAGCTCTGTCTTCAAGGGGAAAAAGGACAGTTATCCACAGAGTGTTGCCCATCCATTTGCGGACACCAGAATCAGTAAATATCAGACACCCTCACACAATGCCTGTTCATTTTAGAACCATCATTCATATGTCATTTAACATCTCACTTAATAGGCGAGGAAGACATAAACACAAGGGTCATCCAGATGATTCGCAACGAGCGTATAAAGGTAATAAAATGTCTGTATACTTCTATGGGCAGTTCACACCAAAGATGCACTGATATATGCTGTGTTTCTGCAGTACTGCATTCCAGTAATTAAGTATGACAGGAATGGCTTCAAACCGAGGCAGCGACAGCTCATCCTCACCCAGACAGCTATCTATGTGGTAGAGGAAGCCAAGATCAAGCAGAGAGTGCTGTACACCTCTCTCAAAGGTCAGACCAGTGTGCTAATATATATTTTATTAGCCATCAGATATCTTCATTCTCAAATGTGGGGCTACATGCTTCTATTATTTGACTCACTGCAGAGATTTCTGTCAGTAACTTGACTGACAGCACCATTGCATTCCACATAACACGTGAAGAACCTAAACAAAAGGTATGCAAATGTATGGATCAAGCTTGCCTTTTTTTTGTTTTGTTTTTGCTAATGGTGAGACCAATGAAGTTTATTTTGTATTTGTAGCTTAAATGACATGATTAGATATGGTGGAACAAGTTAAAACATAGAATGGCTTTTGCTCTGCTGATAATGCAGAGTAACTAAAATGAAGGAGGAACATGCATGTAGTGAAAATTTTGAAAGATTTTCAGGTGGATGATTCTAACACAACTTGTCTGGCTGTTTCAGGGGGATCTGGTAGTACAGTGCGACCATTTATTTGAGCTTTTGACCAAACTCTGTGTCATTGCTAACAAACAAAATGCCATCAAGGTGGTTCAGGGCAGGTGAGCCTGAGTTTTGAAATTTAGAGATCTAATGTGAAATGCACATTGAGCTAAACTGCTTGTGTATGCATTGTGTTTGCATTAATTCACAGCATCAACTTTGAAATCCAGGCTGGAAAAGGAGGAGCAGTGGACTTTAGCACTGGGCCTGAGCCTATGGTATACAAGGCCAAGAATGGTCACCTGATGGTGGTGAGTTGGGCCTTATCTCTTTTATCTCATGTTTCTCTGCAGATTGGCTACCTTTTTTTTTTCAGATTATATTTGAACATTTATTATTTGTTTTAAAATCCTTAAATGCTCAGTCCTAGCTTGCCAAAATCCTGCACTTTTGTGTCACAGCCAGATCAGTTTGCTCATGTGTCAAAAAACTCTTAATGGTTCCTAAATCCATATTTACAAAAGGTGCTTGTACCATGTATTTTCTAAGGTTTGGAACAGACTCGCCTTAAGTGTTAGATTGTCCCATTTTAGTCCATGTTTATCCCCTAACATGACTTTTAATCAAGCTTAGGTTTAGACTCATTTATATTGTCGCTGTTTTATACTGTCCTTTTTCTTATTTCATCCACTTTTGTGTTTCCTACAAGTTATACAGCACCTTAGTTAGTATTTGCTGCTTTCGATTGTATCTCTATACATAAACTTGACATGGAAACTCAACGACCAGATGTGCCATTTTAAGTCTTCAATTAAGGGCTACAATGAAGTTACAAATGCTGACACAGCATCATTGTTTGCTACTGCAGGTTGCCACTCGGGCAAGGACACGGTAACGTGTGAGGCTGAGGAGGAGACACATAAGACGCCTCTGCATATTTCATCAGGAGACCACTAAGGAGATGATCACCATGTCTGCAGAAAACACATCTGCCCAGAAAGAGATGAACCTGAGGAATCTTGGATGAGGTTGTTTGCTGGACAGAATTTCACACTAGTCATAATTAAAATTTCTTCACTTCATTATTAAGAAAAGAAAGAAGATGTTATCATTTCACAATTGCTTGTGTCTGAAGAACACTTAAAATGACAAAACTCTTAAGGTACCAAAAACTGATGCAATTCTAATTTTGAACAATGAAGCCATATGTATAATAAATTTGTACGTTCACTGATGTTGTAAATTAAAAGCAGCACAAAAGAATGTCTGTAGAAATTTATTTGTGATAAAGTGTGTATAAATATAAAACATACATTTATGTTTACTTCTGTACAGCAGACCTACAAGTACTGTGATTGTTAAACATATAACAACTTAAACTAGTGTGCAAACGGTACATTCTGTGATGAATGCGATGATGAAAGACAGGTCTAATTTCTATCCCTGTTATAAGCTTGTAGACAGGGTTCCCTTCCTGCTAGAGTGATATCGAGTTACAGTCATTCACATCAACCTCAGCATCCATCATTCAATCAGCCCAGTGCATTTAACACCTCAGGTCACAGCTCAAGTTCCCTCCACTGAAAATAATGGTTTGTTTAGTGAAGGGAACTGCGTCAATGTTAGAACTAAATGCGGCAGAAGTATTACAGGAAATTTTGCTTCATTCACCTGTAATTTTTATTGTCTAATGATAAAAAGAAAATATTCAGGTTTTGGAGTTATAGACAGGCTACATTATAGCCATGGTTAATATCATCTAAGAGTAAAACAGTGCCACCGTGTGACTTCATTAAGTACAACACCCGGTTCATCCACTTGAGACTTTAAAATGTACCTTTTGGAACCACGGCAAAGAAAAACTAAACTATCTACATTACTAGCTGCTTCCATGATATAACTCGTCTTCTGCATGTAATTTAATTAGGACCTCTTCCTTCCTGCACTCAGTGATGAATAAAAACATCCATGTTTATGAGCGTCTACACAGTAGCAGAAAACAGTGATACAAGTTATCATGACCAACAAAAAGAGACAAAAAACAAACAAACAAAAAAACACAAGATGACAAAGAGGAAAACTGGAGAAGAGGACTGCACACAATCACTTCACCACTACACACCGCTGCATGACACTCGTGTCATAATAATCCTCTGGGGAATGCTGGTAAAATATGAGGGAAGTAAATGAAGGAGGCGCTGGGTGTTGTAAGGCACAAGCATAGTGCAAATACTGCCTGGGATCCCAGATTGACTGGTTCAAGTTGAGAATCACTGGTGGTGGTGTGTACGGTCATCAGGTCGTTTGATATGAATCCTACGGACGCGCTCAATTCGTTCTCGCTCTTCATCCTCATCCAGGTGGTTAGATCGCCATGCAGGACCCCCTGTGGCCTCTAACAGAGCATTGTCTGGACCTCTGCCATCATGAGACTCATACAAAAGGATGTTGAGGGTCTCCTCGTAGATTCGAGCCTCTGGGAATTCAACCTAGGAAAAAAGTAAAGTGTTACTCAAGAGACAGGTTTATTTAGCCAAAATAACATAGCTCTATGCTTATGAAACTGCAAAGTACTCTGCAAAGAATATTTACCTTTGTCTGCTTCTTTTCAGTGGCATAAACAATGGAAGTGCAACACACTTCAGCAATTTTACGCCCCTGCCCATAAAAAGACCAGCAACAGATCTCATCCCCAATCACGTCTTTGATGAAGAGCACTCGCCCATTGAACCGCAACGACAGTTTGTCAAAAAGCTCAATATTCTTTAGCATGTTGTCATCAGAATTGCTGTGGAGGAAAGAAAGTTATAAGAGAGGTCACTTATTATGATAACTGACTTGAGTGTACGTAACAACTTGATTTTTTTTTTTTTTAATATCTAGACAAACTTGACCCCATGATCGGGCTCACCTGGTATATGAATACTTGTTGTTGCTTCTGTTATACAGCAGTTTGACTGTTGGCTGTGAAGACAACCAAGTTTTAAAAAAAAAGAAAAATCTAAATGAAAAATGTCTTGATTCTAAATGAGTTGCTGCACATTATATTACAGACATAGCATACCTTATTTGAGGTAGCAATCAGCCTCTGCTCCTCTTTGGATGACGTCATCAGAGGCACTTTACAAAGGGGTTCATATGTTTCCTTGTTCTGGAAAAAAGACATTTTTCCACTGAAAACATTACACAAACACACAAAACTGCTGCATACTGTTAATTTCACAGGATCCCATTCTGTTGGTACAGACTTACATGTGGAAAAAAAAAAGAAGAGAGAAACAAAAAAAAAAACAAAAAAAACAAAAACAAAACAAAACAAAAAAAACAAAACATAAAAAGGATGAAAACTTTTATTAAATGTATTAATTTTTTTCGCATGGAGCTGGACTCTCTAAAGGTGGTGTCAGAGAGGTAGATGGTGTTCAAGATAAGAACAATGCTGGACAATGCCTCCCACCCACTGCATGACGTGCTGGCCAGTCACAGGAACACGTTCAGTGAGAGACTGAAATTACCCAAATGCACCACTGAATGAAACAGGAAATCATTCCTGCCTGTGACTCTTTCTATACAATTCCTCCATGAAAAGTACAGTACAAACTGCAATAGTTCCACACTCTTATTATAACATCCTCTACAGAGAAAATTACACTTAATATTATAAGAAGGGAACCTCACTGCCAACTATAAATTTTTAATCTTGTGTGATATACTGTAATATTTATAATTAGAACTATGTGTATTTATTAGAGCTATTTTGTTATATTTTATAACTTTGTAATATATAGTATTATTTAATTTCGTTTAATTAGTTACTGTTATTACTGTATTGGAGCCACTGTGACCACATAATTTCCTCTGGGGATTAATAAAGTATTCTGATTATGATAAGTTACCAAAGATAACCAATAAATTATTTGAAAAAATTAATTGCTGCAAAAGGTCTATATTTTTAAATCAACCACAAGTGTTACTAATCCTACGAAATGAGCCTCTGCACCTTTAATAATATCATTAGTGATGCCTGTGGACACCTGTTAAAAAGCTATTGTCAAAAAGCATTTTAATAAATATTTCTGCTGCTGTTTCCAGATAAAAACGAAAACAGATTTTGACTTGTAATTTTTGTTTGGTTAATTGGGTTTTTGTTTATAACACTTAATTTCATTCTTTAAAATACACAGACTAATGCTAGTCACATTTATAACTGCATTAAAAAGCAAAAAAAGACAACAGAACATTCATGGGAAAAGGGAGCTAATGAAGATTATGGTGGGAACATAGCATGTTTAACGAAAAGAGAATGTAGATTCCAAAATGTAAATTTTGTAATTTTAAATGTATCAGTAACTTTGCTGAAACTTAGTTACTTAACATTTACTCCAAAGGTAAGCAACTTTGTAATGATTGTACCTGCAAGGCAGCTGTGCATTCATCGGCAAGGCCTTGGACAAGATAATACTTGGCCTCAGCGAGGAGCTCCTCGGTTTCCCGTCGACTGTCTGGGAGTGGGACTGCGCCATCTCTAAGGTAGTTAAGGATTGTTCCAAAATGTTTCCCACACCGATCAATCAGGATCCAACCTATGGGTATCAAATGCCCAAAACATCAGTAACAGTTTAACTGCAGTGATGGAATAATTGCTGCATATGATCAAGGTTTTACTAACAGCTCACCTTCACTATCTGTGAGGACCTCCATTCTCCCACTGAACATTGCTTTGAGCATTGTGTCCTGTTTAGTTAGTGTCTGCATTGTAGTGTAGTACAGTGCGCCACCCACATTCAACTTCACATATTTTGAGCTGGGGCTGGAGCTTTTGAAGGACGTAGTCCGGGTTGTAGCTGCCGGCACTGGCGAGCTCACCACGCTCTCTCCTGACATCTCTTCCTAGAACAATACAAAATACAACAAAGTCACACATGGATATCAGTGGATTAGACAATGAACTGTTACATTTTAATTATTGAATGTTCATTGTTTCTTTATTTTTTTCTATAGGTGGTGACAGTAACACCGAACAGCACCTTTAAATGGCTAAGACAAATGAGTAATATCAGACTACATATACAATTGGAAAGATCAGTTTAATGGTAGTATTGTCCTAACATGTCTTGACAGTATGAAACTATAGATTGCTTCTGATTTAAGAATCAGGATGACAAAGAAAAGCAAAATTATATTTAGAGTGCCCCATTTATTGTTCTGGCAATGCACTCTGATATCTGAGAGCTAACAACTCTCAAAACCTGGAGAAAAGTAGTAGCCTTCTTAAGGGAGTAATGTAGGAAAATGCATAAACATAAACACATCAAAAATCTGTATCAGTGAAGTGCTTACTTCCTTTTGCTCATCTGCTAAGCTCCATGTTCATAATCTAGATGTTATATTTGATTATTCTCTGGACTTTCATTTGCATGTCTAATCTATTTTATGGTCTTGTTTCTTTCATTTAAAGTAACATTTCGAAATCATCTCTACAGCTAAACAGGAGAAATTTTTTCATCCATTTGATTCATCATGCCTATACTGTAATGCCCTGCTTACCATCTTATATACATCAACTGTCACACCTCCAAACAATAGAAGATACTGCAGCCAGACCTCTTAACACATCCAAGTAAGCAAGCTCACATTACTCTCACATTACCCCTTTTATAGTTTCTCCATTGGCACCCAGTTGACTTCGAAACTCGTTTTAAAAGTCTCAGTTGCATACAGAGCACTAAATGGAGAAGTTTGAGACTATTTATCTCAGCTTCTTACTAAAGATCCTGTAGGCTTAAAATGTATTAGTTGTCCCTCATACAAGACTGGAGACAATAGGGTGGTTGCGGCAACTGAGCCTTGTAGCAACCACTCCAGCTAGCATTATCTGACTTTCTTTTAGAAAGCGATTTTCTGGGGCTTACTTTTGAGAATTTTTAATTATTACTACAGTTTTTACTACGTGTTTTTGTTCATTGTGGCTTTGTCTCGTTATTTACTTTTTAATTTTCTACGTAGTTTAAAGGGAATGAGGGTGTGTGACATCATTTGACAGAAGCCCATGCATTGTCTTTTAATTTCTCAGCTATGAACACGCACTTTTGTTATATATCTAATATGCATTTAACTACATTAATATAAAGCGTCATTACATTTATACGGACTTTCGTAGTTGTTTCCAGTGAAACACTGGGCCGTATCCTTTATTCCAGCGAGTACAAATTTCATTTTAGCCAGCCCGGCTAATGAGCTAGTTAGCATTAAATAAAGTTATGGACATTGTTTTAAACCAACCAAAACATGATATACTACAACACGAACCATAAAATAGCATTCTTTATATTATATCGACAGCATGTCTATTAAATTAAAAAACAAAAACAGAAAAACGACCATATTTACCATAGAACCCACAGCAAACTTCGTAATTGTAGCTTGCTAACGTCAGTCAGCTAACACCCACTTCCTTCCGGTGCGCTGCTGCGCAGTTATTAAAATGACGTCAACCGTCCGGAGTTGTGTTTAAAGGGGCAGGTGACATTTTTATGTTAAAGTGCAAAAGTGTCCCGGCAGTGATAAATGATAAATAAATAAAAACGCAGTAGTTTCCCTCAGCTCGCGTTACATCCCATCCGTTATACCCTAATATTGTTACTCGAAAAAAAATGTTTTAATTACATTAAAATATTTCCGCTTTTTAAGGGGTAACAGGGATAATAGTCCCCCCTCCACCCACCCAACATACTGGGTTGTAGCTTTATTCAACGCCAGAAATACAAAGTCGCTGTTGTTACAATACCACCCAAGATAGCTTGCCACATAGCAGACATTTTATTAATACCGACTCTCGAATCGTGAGTTATAATTGGAGACAAACGCTACCCGGACTCATTTAATGCGACACAGGGGATTAATGGCTGCAGTCAATGTACTGATCTCCTCTCATTGTTTACATTTCGAAACGGTGTGTTCGCGGCGTTTGCGAGACTGTCATTGACATGAGATAAAATCTAAGCCCGCTGTGATGAGAAATATCTCGAAATTGATGTGAATAAATTCACCCGGATCAGTATTAATCCAGCAAGTAGCTAACTAGCCCTATGTGCTAACCAGCACTGCTCGATTTTTACTGTTTCGCTCCGGAGATGGCAAGTTAGCCTCCTTTTTAAATAAATAATTAAATAAATTTGCTCTTCTCCTGCATGGATCTCATGGACACCCAAATGACCGAGGAGCTATAGCGGAAGGTGAGCCCAAAGGACAGACAAAATCCTCTGAACTTAACTGTCGCAGGTAAGTTTACTGAAAACAACATAGATGTTGTCTTATCACAGACTTCTTAAAGAGCGGATGTTTTCGCTGGTACCACTGCCAAAATGCAATCAATAACTGCACATGCATAGTTTTTGTACAGCGGCCAAGCGATTTTGAATAATTTCTTCCCAGGGTGCACGATGTTTAGTGTACCTCAAAGCTCCAAGTCCGAGTTCCTGGACAAAGCCAGGCAGGCCAGAGAGGAGAGAAAGGGGCAGAAGGAGAAGGAGAGAGCAGCAATTATCATTCAAGCTCTGGTCAGAAGATTTATATGTCGCTGCAGGCTCCAGAAGCAAATAAGGTGATCGCTGGTTTCTTGTTGCAGATTTCTTAGAAAACTGTGATTTAAAGAGCTTGGTTCTCTGCTTTTACCATAGATGCAATGAGTGAATATTATATTCATTGCGTGTGTGTGTGTGTGTGTGTGTGTGTGTGTGTGTGTGTTTTCCCTCTTCTCTAAACAGGAAAGAGATTGATGACTACTTTCAAGCTTCTGAAACTGGGACATCTAAAAGAAATGCACTTTCAATTTTCAAAATTGCTCGCAAATTACTATTCATATATTGCCAAGAGGATAAGATGGTGAGTTACCAGCTATACAAGTATTTAAATCAATACGTTAATAATAACCATTGTCATATAGCTGGTAAAAATAAGTTGAGATTCATATCTGCACTTACCATTATTGACACTTTTGACAGACCCTTGAGGGTTCTGTAAACTTAGCAGTAGTAGTTTATACACATGTCATTTGCTCTGCAATTCAAGTGGCTCTTATTTTGTTTTTCAGAGGTTTGAGAAGCTCTGTCGTGCTATCCTAGCCAGCATGGAGGTTGAAAATGAACCTAAGGTAAACATGCATGCATTTAAAGTCTCTTCATGCTGAAAACTTTTTCAATCATATTCTCATCTTAATGGCTTTTTGGCTGTTTGGCCCTCAGGTGTGGTATGTTTCCTTGGCTCTGTCCAAAGACCTCACTATTCCCTGGCTCAAACAGATAAAAGATGTGCTTTGGACTTGCTGTCAACTGCTGAAAAATTTAAAGGTTAGTCTTAATTTAAAGCTCGAAAATAGGTTTTGATATTCATTTTATCACTATAAATGTGCAATAATAAAAATAACTGCGTGTTTTGTGATTTCCAGCCTGACATACTTCAGGACAACAAACTGGTGACACTGTACCTCACCATGCTAGTAACCTTCACAGACACATCAACCTGGCGGATAGTCAGGGGAAAGGGTAAGCCTGAAGTCAAGCTTTGGAAAATGTTTCATGGTCTTGCATTTTGCAAGGAAGAAAAATATAATTTCCTCTGAATATTTTAGGTGAGGCTCTCAGGCCTGCTTTGACAAGGATTTGTGAAAATATTATGGGCCATCTCAATCAAAAGGGATTTTACTCAATACTGCAGGTTCAGTATTACGACTCATTTGCTCATTTTTATGAAGATATGCGTTGAAATAGTGTGACATTGCCTTTCTTCTGAAATGCAAGGCTCACTGTATGTCAGCTTTTCTTCTTTAGATCTTGCTGACCAATGGCTTGGCTCGTTCTAAACCGTCTCTGTCCAAAGGCACTCTGACAGCCATTTTCACTTTGTCATTAAGGTAAGCTAATATTTCACCTTTAATTAAGTAGAGGAGACATGTTAATTGCTGTTGTGTTATGTCTGTTTGTTCTGTTTATAAATTAAATTTTTGTTTTCAGGCTACGTTTGTAACTAAATCAAGTATTTTTCAGGCCCGTCATTGCTGCTCACTTTTCTGAGAATCTGCTGAGATCATTCCTCATCCACATCATGTCAGTCCCAGCCATCATAACCCACCTCAGTGGGCTTACTCCAGAGGTAAAAGCACTGTGATGTGTGTTTTTCATTGCATAGTGAGACAATGTAATAAAATGTAAGGAAGTATTTATTAATATTTTCTTTGCCTTGACAGTGCATGGCATCTATCCAGACGCATGACCTGCTGCGGAAATTCATTCTGTTTCTCAGTAGAGAAGAACAGTGTTCGGATATCTGTGTGTGTCTTGAGGGCAGCCACACACTGTGTCTACTAGGTATAGTATTTTGGTTCAAAGAATTGTGCACATTCAGTCAGTTGCATCTTGTGTACAAATTAATAAACAACTAAGTAATATCTATTTAAATGTCTCCTTCTCATTTTTGATAGGAAACCTAATTCACTTAGGCTACCTTAATGAGAAAGTGCTTGAAGAGGAGGCCAACCACTTTGTGAAGGACCTGACTGACATGCTGTCCTACTGCCAGAGATATGTATCCCAGAAGAAGTCCAACCTAACTCACTGGCACCAAGTGCTGGGCTGGTTCTCGCAAACTGTGGACTATGGGTAAGTTAAATTCTTCATGTTTGTTTAAATCATATGAATAAGTTCATATTCACTTGGAATAGTGATCCCCAAAGCTTCAATTCAAAACTTAGACAGTATATTAGGCTAACATATATGGCTGGCTCATTTCACATTCCTAAGGAGGTATGGAGATGTCTAGAAGAAAGGGCACTGGACTTTTTAACCTGATTGTTTAAGACAATCTTGGAGAGTGAAAGGACACCTGAGTGAAGTGCAATGGAGAACCGATTTTCAAGGACAAAAGTGCAAAGTTGTAGCAACAACAGAGGGATAGAGTTGATGAGCCGTGGCATGAATATGTGGGGAAAAGATGTTGAAGCTAGTTTAAGAAGAGCCATGATGATCAACGAGCAGCAGTATGGCTTCATGCTGAGAAAGAGCACTTTCCCTTTATGTGATTAATACATTATGTATATAGTCCGTGAAGAAAATAAACATGAAACAATCTATCATACACATGCAATGTTTGCTTTGAAAGTGTTGATGGTGAAGTATAGAGAAGATCAGAAGGAGTTGTGCTTTGTTTTTGTGGATCTGGGGAAATCATATAATAGGGTACCAAGAGAGGAAATGTAGTACTGCACGAAGAAATCAGAATAGGCAGAGAGGTATATGAGGGTGGTGCAGTGGTAGGAGTTACAGATCGGTTCAAAGTAGGAGTGGGATTACTTCTGGCACAGGAATCCCAGAATCTGAGCCTTTTCTGGTTTGCGGTGGTGATGGATGGACTGACAGATGATCTCTGGCAAGAGTCTGCATGATGTTTGAAGATGGCATTGTGATCTGTAGTGAGTGCAAGGAGACAGGTGGTAAGATGAAGCTACAAGAAGTAGAGATAGTGAAGATAAATTTAAATACGTGGGTTCTCTCTCAGCTGACCCTTCTCACCCTGGACACAGTCTGTTTGACCTGCTACCCTCAGGCAGGAGGCTCCGGTCCATTCGCACCAGAACCTCTCGCCATAAGAACAGTTTCTTCCCCTCTGCTGTTGGACACATGAACAATAACCATATGACTGTCCCCGCCACTAACACATGACCCTACGCTGTGTTCACTGCATCATTCCATGTTTGGCACTGATCACCACCTGCACTCATGTATATGTCTTTCTACGTAGCACTTTTAATTCTTATTCTCATGTATATATCTCATGTATATCTCATGCACATATCTTTCTACGTAGCACTTTTAATTCTTATTCCTACTTTTATTTTTTCATGTCTATTTAAGTGCTATTTATGACACTATGTTTGCACTGAAGCACCGCAGCAATTTCCTAATGTTGTAAACCTGCTCAACATTTGGCAATAAACCCCTTTCTGATTCTGATTCTGATTCAACCATCCAACGAGAGAACAGGTGAAGCTGGAGGTGACAGAGTTGAAGATATTAAATTTTAATTGGGAGTGACCAGGATAGAGAAGATTAGAGGGACAAGTCAGGTAGAGCAGTTTGAAGAAAGACATGGCTGAGGTGGTTTGGAAGTGTGCAGAAGAGGGATATAGATATACAGGACAAAGGATGGTAAAGATGGAGCTGCCAGGCAGGAGGAAAAGAGGAACATTGCAAAGAAGATTCATGGATGTCATGAAGGAGGACGAGTTGAGGGTTGGTGTGACAGAGGAGGATACTCGAGATAGGGTGAGATGGAGGTAGATGATCTGCTTTGACGACCCTTGAAGCGAGCAACCAAAAGAAGAAGAAAATATGTCTACATGTTTGTATTCTTGCATACTTTCACTTTTCTTTTGCTAAAAAAATGATGAAAGAAATGGTGTACTTAACTATTTTCTCCCACCTGCCTTATTTGTCTTCTGTTCTCTGCAGTCTTAATGAGTCAATGCCCTTGGTAACAAAACAGCTTCAGCACCTGTGGGGCGTACCTGTTATTAGAACTCTTTTCAGTGACGTCCTTTCTAAAAAGCTGGAGAGTCAGGAGCCCACTCCCCCACCACCACAACCTAGCACTTCACAAAATAACCTACCAGTTAAAAGTAAGTTCCTAAGTTCTGTTGTGATATTTTTAAGTAAGCACAATGTTTATTTTTTAATAAATGTTTTGAATACTTTTTGAACTCCTGTGTCTCTGTTTTTTTTTTTTTTAAGACCTTTTCAAACGAGCATTTCAGAAGTCAGCCTCCGTGCGTAACATCCTGAAACCAGTCGGGGGGAAGCGGGTCGACTCAGCTGAAGTTCAGAAAGTGTGCAGCATCTGTGTGCTCTACCAGACCGCACTGTCTACACTGACGCAAATACGCCTCCAGATACTCACTGGTCAGTCCAAAGAACTGGTATTTTATCTAAACTTGAAAGTACGAAGGATACAATACTCAGTCTCTGCTCATTCTGGGGTTTTTTTAAAGGTCTTACACATCTTGATGACCTTTTGCCCAAACTTTGGGCTTTCATCTGTGAGCTGGGTCCTCAGGGAGGCCTCAAACTCTTCATGGAGTGTCTGAACAATGACACCGAAGAGTCAAAACAGCTCCTTGCTATGCTCATGCTCTTCTGTGACTGCTCGCGGCACCTTATCACGTAATTTCACAGATTATTTATTTACTTTCATTAGCCATGCTTTCTAAAAGGTGGTTGCAGCATTTTATGACACACCTTCAATATGTTACAGAATTCTGGATGACATTGAAGTATATGAAGAACAAACGTCCTTCAAGATAGAGGAACTCGTTACTATCTCCTCTTTTCTGAACACATTTGTGTACAAGATGATATGGGATGGCATCTTAGGTGAGTGCGGTGTCACAATGGCACCTGTTACGCAGGTCATGCTTTCTTATTGAAACGTCTGTTGTGTATTTTGTGTTTAATAGAAAATGCAAAGGGAGAGAAACTGGAGTTGTTCCACAGTGTTCATGGCTGGCTGATGGTGCTTTATGAGCGAGACTGCAGGCGGCGGTTCACCCCTGACGACCACTGGCTGCGCAAGTAAATACAAACAGCATGACTAGCCTTGTGTTTCAGAATGACATGTTTACGTGATATATATATATACATTTTTTTATAAGCACATCTTTACATGTTGCTGCTGTTGCATTCAGGGATCTAAAGCCTAGCCTGTTGTTCCAAGAGTTGGAGAAAGGCAAGAAGAGAGCGCAGCTTTTACTCCAGTACATCCCACACGTTATCCCACATAAAAATGTGAGTAAATGTAATTCTTTCATTTATAGCAGTGAGAGGGGGGTCAGTTGTGTAATTGTTTTTTCTCTCAATTTAGAGGGTGCTGCTGTTCAGGAACATTGTTACGAAGGAGAAAGAAAGCTTAGGACTGGTGGAAACGAGCTCTGCTTCGCCGCATGTCACCCATATTACCATTCGGCGCTCGCGGATGTTAGAGGTATGGCTTCAGCCAGTCAAATAGATTTACTTGGATGAAAGTAAATATATTGTTCCTTAATAAAACCAGGATTTCCCTGTCTTAAGGATGGATATGACCAACTGCGCCGGTTACCAGTGAATTCCATAAAAGGCGTAATTCGGGTGAAGTTTGTGAACGACCTGGGTGTGGATGAGGCTGGAATCGACCAGGATGGTGTCTTCAAGGAGTTTTTAGAGGAGATCATTAAGAAAGTCTTTAATCCTGCTCTCAACCTCTTTAAGGTAACTCAAACAAATAGTTGACATTCTTCAAACATGAAGACTTAAGTAGCAAAATTTCAGTGTGTTTTCTTTTTTTCCTGAATATGTTGTGCTGATTGTTTGTTGTAGACCACAAGTGGAAACGAGAGGCTGTATCCTTCGCCCACCTCTTACATCCATGAGAACCATTTGCAGCTGTTTGAGTTTGTGGGGAAGATGCTCGGGAAAGCTGTATATGAGGTACGTGTCATGTCTAAAATATACCATGTCTGTAAGATCTTTGAATACATTTCACTGGTTGAGCTTCAGTGTTTCACTGTCACTTCTGCCTATTCAGGGCATTGTTGTGGACGTCCCTTTTGCCTCGTTCTTCCTTAGCCAAGTCTTGGGTCACCACCACAGCACTTTCTACAGCTCCATTGATGAGCTTCCCTCACTGGATTCAGAGTTTTACAAGAACCTCACTTCCATTAAGGTAACTACACACACTTTTGACTTTGTCTTTTTTGCAATTTGCAGCTCACGTTGTTGTATTTCAGTGTCTGATATCCAGGGCATATTTCACTTCTGATTTGTTTTCAGCGCTATGATGGAGATGTAGGGGATCTGGGGCTGACATTATCCTATGATGAGGATGTTATGGGGCAGGTAAGGATGGGATATGTTTATACATTTTAATTTATAAATATACAAAATACATTAGTTAAGAGTTAACTGTATGTTTCATTGTAGCTTGTCTGTCATGAGTTGATACCTGGGGGAAAAACCATGCCAGTTACCAATGAAAACAAGTATGTGCATTTAAATTCGGTAAAACAATAAAAGGATATGGAAGCACTTCATGTCTGAAATGTTGTTTTGTTGACTTTTTGTATTCTGTAGAATTCGCCAGTTATCTCGATGATGTTATCTTTGTCATATCCTGCAGAATCAGCTACATCCACCTCATGGCCCACTTCCGCATGCACACACAAATTAAGGAGCAGACGGCTGCTTTCATCCGAGGCTTCCGCAGCATCATTAATCCGGAGTGGTTGCACATGTTTTCCACCCCTGAGGTTCAGCGTCTCATTTCAGGAGATAACGCGGAGATTGATCTAGATGACCTAAAGTATCTACCATTTTACCCTTTTGTCTTTTTTTTCGAATACGGAGGATGTCTTTTGCTTGTAGTACATGCTTTCTGTTTGTACAAACAGTTAAATATGTTCATCATTCTCAGGAAACACACGGTCTACTATGGAGGTTTTCACAGCAGCCATCGTGTCATCATCTGGCTGTGGGACATCCTGTCCAGTGATTTCAGTGCTGAGGAGAGGGCTATGTTCCTCAAAGTAAGGTGTCATTTGTTGAGCCAGATATTTTTTTTTTTTATTGGTGCCACAATAGTTTAACCATTTATTGTCTTTTTTTTTTTTTTAAATGTGTTTTCACAGTTTGTTACCAGCTGCTCAAGGCCACCTCTCCTAGGTTTTGCCTACCTCAAACCGCCTTTCTCCATCCGTTGTGTGGAAGTTTCAGATGATCAGGTAAGAAAAAAGAGTTAGGAATATATATTTTTAGACACTAACACAGTATATAATACCACAGTTATATAACAAAAAGCAGTGCAAACTTTAAAGAAGGTATTCACATTTCATTTTAGATAAAAGGTTAAAGGCAATAGAAAGACGGGAAGGAAAAAGTAATGTAGAATCCCTGAAATGGCTTGTTATGTTAAGCAAACATCGTATATAAACAATAGTGGAGGTAGTGGGATGGTATTATACGACAGAAGAAAGAAAGAGCTGGATGAGCTCTGATGTGCACAATTAAAATCTAGAGAGGGCTACAATTTCTATTCAGATTCAGCCTGGAGAGCCAAAGTTAAGCAGACAGTTGCCTGAATCATTTACATTAATTAGATTATGTTCTTAGTGGGATCGCTGTATTTCATTTGCTGAAGACAAAATTTAAGCTAACAAACACAAACTTCCCAGACAAATCATCACAAAGGAGGAAAGACATTGTTTGCTGATCTTAGCGAGTTTCAGCCTTGAAAGGTTCTCCATAAGCTGTTAAACATCAACATTCTATTTATGATTGTGTTTATTTGTCCTGATATATTTGATTGGAACTCCTGAAAATAAAGGACTGTGTACAAAGATGGCTGTCAAGCCTTCTGCTGTTGATTAAGTTAAACCTAAAGGTCTATACCAATATTATGTGCTGCTAGGTTAATTCCTGTGTATGATTGTGTCCTTGTGTTCTGATGAATTTGACATTTTCGCCGATGTGTGTAGGACACTGGGGACACCCTCGGCAGTGTCCTCCGGGGCTTCTTCACCATCCGAAAGAGGGAGCCTGGTGGGCGACTTCCGACTTCATCTACATGTTTCAACCTGCTCAAGCTCCCCAACTACAGCAAGAAAAGCATCCTACGTGACAAGCTGCGCTACGCTATCAGTATGAACACAGGCTTTGAGCTCTCCTAACTCTGTTGCATCAGGACAATCTGCACAGGAGGGCTGTATTATACAGTCTGATACCAAGCAAGAGGCTCAGCTTACCTGCGTTGGAGCCTTTAACATCAAAGGGGCATCACTCAAACAAAACAGGACTCTTGAAGGACCCTTTACTTCTTTTTTTTGTCTCTTTTATAATCTGGATGAGCTCTAAGGGAGTGAGATCCAGTTAAGCTGTGTCTCCCATCAAAAGGGGAATGCTGTTTCTGCAGAACAATCCAATTTCTAACATCTTCCTCTCTCTTTTTACCCCTCCAGAAACTGAGTATACATGTTTCTCAGGCTTAACAGAATAATGAGTCTAACACTCCCACTTTAAGCGAACTGGAAAGCAATACAGAAGCAATGCAAGCCATTACACACATTGTCGTCTCACTTGTGTAAAACTAAGCGATGCATTGTTACTTGTAAGCTTGGATTCCATTATCCCGGCACCCTACAGCTTATATTGAATGAGTCTTAATGTGTCTTTCCTGAACATGATGCTTCTCGTATAAGTGGAAGACAAATCAATGTTTTGTGTTCAGTCTCCTTGAAGGAGTGGTGGCTCATAACGCCGATCCTGTCCGTTACGTTATGTCCCGTTTTTAAGGAAAATCGTTTTTGAGCTCTGTCCCTTTTCTCCCCACTAAAAGACACTGGGTCCACCTGAGAGAGACGTTGGCCTTCTGGTTTTCATGTTCCCAGTAGATCTTAAAAACCAACAATCTGCCTCAGTTCCAGTGACGCAGCAAATAATCCCCTAAAAGGTTTGATCTTACTCTTCGATAAAAGAAAAAGAAAAGAAAGAAAGATGTCGTTTCTGTAGCATCAGTTACTTTTGACCAAAAGAACTGGAAATGTTTTGTCACTATTTGTGTTTGCAGCTGTTCCATGTTGCACAACTTCCACCTTAAAAACACGAAGAAGAGCAAAGCAAACCAGTCTTCTTACTCTGTGTATCTAATGCTAGGGAAAAAAAGAAATCTCACTACACCTTGGATTAATGCCGAGTGCCTCACGAATCGTCGTCACCTGTTGCTCGCACGCTTGACTGTGTTTCAACCGTAACCAATAACCACGATTTGGAAACAAGCCATAGAAATGTGGGGGCTATGGTCCTGGATATATTCTCTGCTTATAGGAGCAACACAGAGCGGAACCACTGTAATACCACAACAACCGCGGAGGGCTTCACTACAATGCTCTCTGATCTCTGTGGACTTTTGAAGCCATGCGGAAAAGAATGATGTCATGGACTGGTTCGTCAACCAAATGCGACCGCTTGACTTGATGATGTTCCCTTGGAAACGTTGCACACAATTTTGCTGTTTGCGGCAGTTGGGAGGGAGGGGGAAAGGGACATGAGAGTGAATGTGACTTTATAAGCTTAAAATTTTTTACCTTACACAGGGTTCATTTACAGCAGAAGGTCCAGGCACAGACTTTTGGTTATTTGGAGAAAAAAAAGGACTGCATCATTAAAAGCGATAGAAGAAGGAAAAAAGTCTAACCTAACAAAGTTCTTTATTATGCAAAAAAAAGTTTTGTCATGAATGAAAATTGAGATTTTTGTTAATATGTAACCATGTTTCTAAGAAGTTATATGATGGCCACTAACTCGTGAAAAAAAATAAGTGATTTATAATGAAAATGCAACCATTACATATATACACATAAGACTGGTTGTAATAAATTTATCTAATAATCTAATAATGATGTTAAATGATGTTAAAATCAAACCTGACAAATCAGTTAAGGGGATCCTTAAAGTATTTGGGCAAGAACTGAAAGCACTGCAAATGGATTTATATGACACACTACTGCAACTGCTCACGAGTGTGTGTGTGCGTGTGTGTGCGCGTGGTAGTGTGCAAGAGTGGTGAAAGATACCTCACATGCTTGTCTGTCTCCCGATGAGGTGGCTCATCTGTTTAAATGATGTCAAGAGAAGACTTTGAGTGTACCAGTGATTGCTGATGCTGACTCTTTTAGTACAACAAATAAATAAATAAAAAGAAATTATCCCGGAAATGTTCTCAACCGCTCTTTGTAAGTTTTTTTTGTTCCCCCTTTCTCTTTTTAAAAGTGAATGTCTAGGAATCTCGCTGCACTATAGTAAGGCGCATTATTGATTTAAAAAAAATATCCCATGTAAGATTTGTCCATTTGTAAGATACCTCCTCATGTAATGTTAAATCGTGTACACGAGTGTGATATAAATCATTTGATCACAATTTGTGGGGGTTTTTTCATTCGTTAATTAGTTGATTACAAACACCTGTAGATCCTGTTTAGAAAAAGCAAACAAGAGTGTAAAAGGCTGGTAATTCACAGAATGCATGAGACATTAACATCAGGCTGCGGGATTGGTACATTTTCTGGTTCCCTTGAATACCGTGGATTGGGGATTATCGTGTAAATACGCGCGTCTGAAGCAAACTCTCCATTGTGCTCTCTGATTGCACCGTGTGACCCTTAGTGAGAGGTGGACGGCGCTGCTGGGAAAGCTGCTGGTCGTTTTTACTCCGACTGCTGCCTGAGATTGAAGCTTCTCAATAACCATGAGCCGTCCTCCGAGTCCGACTCCAGCACGATGGTTTAAGGCGCTGCGCAGGTAAAAAAAAAAAAAAGAAGTGAAAAGACCTTTGTTTTGGCCTACTTGCGAGACATTGAGACTTATTATTGCAAATGACCTTAGATTAGATACAGCTGTTCTGGGTGGCTCAGCTTAAGCGTCCAGCTTTGTTAGTTTTATGTGCATCACCTGACTGTCTGCACTGCAGTTATTCGGATTTTCAATATATGCCGGTGGGAGGCTCTTGCTGAGCGGGTGCACAAGCTTAATTTCACACTGGTTCATTCGGAAAGGCCAGCGGTAGCGATTTATTGACTGACACAGACAGACATGAGTCGAAAAGTAAAGGCGTGCTCTGCTTGTCAGAGACATGGGCGGCTAACATGCAGAAGGTGCAGTGATAAACGTGTGTGTGGGTGTGGTGGTGGTGGGGGGATTGTGCGCATTCGCCTTGTGATGTTAAAACTAGCGTACTGTTACAGGACCAGGCTCGGGGACCCCTGTCTGAAGACGTATCCTCTGGAAAGCGTGGATCTCCTGAGGAGGGCTAGAGTCGCCTTTCAAGCTGGACGTACCCTGAAGGAGAACTTCAGACTGGCTCAGCTGGAGGCTGTGGTGCAGATGCTGGAGGAACACGAGTGTGACTTTGTGGATGCACTTGGAAGGGACCTCCATAAGGTCAGGGCGGAAGCGGTCTCCCTGCAGGGTCGTTGTTTTTAATAGTGAGAACTGATGGTAGAGGCAAATGTTGTTGTTTTTTTTTTCTTTGACTTCATATTCGTCTACTGTTTTTAACCAGCCTCGGTTTGAAACGGTTGTGTCTGAACTGATCCTGGTCAAGAATGAGGCTCTATATGCTATTAACAACTTAAAGAAGTGGATGCAGCCACAGAAAGTGGAAAGGAACCTGGTAAGACTGTTGTTTAAATCATCTCGATAATGTTACTGGGATTAATCATGACCTTTTTCGAGAGAACATTCCACGTACTGCTACAAAGAAATGTATTGTGCTGAGCCCTGCAAAGCAGATTAAAACAGAAGTTGCATTGCCCCTTTCTAAAGGAATAAAATGAGCTCATGTGGTTTTTCTGTTTGTGTCATGATGAACCTTACCAGCTTTTTACTTGTGCTGTTTCACTTGTAATGTAATTTGTTCGGTCTGTGTAGTCCACCACGCTGGACGACTGTCTGGTGATCAGTGAACCGCTGGGAGTGGTGCTTATCATTGGGACCTGGTGTAGTCCTGTACAAATGTGCCTTGTGCCACTGGTCGGGGCCATTGCAGCAGGTGCAGCCAGTATTATTTCATCATTTAGTTCTCCTGTACTCAGGCTAACTGACAGCAACTGATGTTTTATTTTACATTTGTGTAGGAAACTGTGCAATCATCAGCCCCTCCGAGTCTACTGTGCACACAACAGAGCTTCTCCATCGTCTAATTCCCTCCTACTTGGATAATGTGAGTAAGCTAGCATAAAGGGACTGATTTTTCCCTGCAAGAACTTGCAGTATTTTTCTTAAAATATCAAAGGCAATACTCCCCCCCCCCTTTTTTTTTTTTTTTTTTTTTTTTTTTTTTTTTTTTTTTTTTTTTTGTTCTGAAGCTGATTAGACTGCACACTATGAATTTTTACTTCACTCGCTTTAACATAAGAATAACTGACTTTGGTTGCTACAGTGAGAGTGAAACACTTCATAGTTTTAGCTTCCAGAATAATTTGACTCCTTTGTAAGAATCTGTTTGAGCAGGTACCCTTTTATTGGCCTGTAATCAAATGAGCTTTCATTTGGTGAGATTACACTTTGAGATACTTAAATCTGGCGTTTCAGAATTGAGCACTCAGTCATCCATGACTGAATATCTGACTCACCAGTGATATTGCTTTTTTTGTGTGTGTGCTTTTAGTTTAGTTGGATTATAAGAGATGCTTGTTTGAAGAGGGGGAACAAAAGGAATTCTCATACAAAACTCTTGTTTTCCTCAAGGAATGCTTCCATGCGATTCTTGCAGGCTTGAGTGACTTGCCTGAAGTGATTGAGCTCAAATTTGATCATGTTTTCTTTACAGGTAATTTTTATTAGTCATCCTTAAATTTAAAAAAAGTGTTCTTTGAATTGTTCACTGTTTAAGCTTGGCTGTCACTCTGCAGGAAACAAAGAAGACGGAAGCAAAATTGCTCTGGCTGCCGCCCGCACACTCACACCCGTCACCTTGATTCTGGGAGGGAAGAACCCATGTTACGTGGACCAGCACTGTGACATTTTCACCACTGTGCAGCGCATTGCTTGGGCACGTTTTCATAATGCTGGACAGAGTTTGGTGGCTCCTGACTACATTTTATGCCACACAGATGTCAAAGCTCGGCTGGTGCAGGCCCTCAAGTGCTGCCTGATGGAGTTTTATGGCTCTAATCCCCAAGAGTCACATAGCTTTGGCCGGATAGTCAATCTAGAGATCTTTAACCGTACTAGAGGGATCTTATGGAGATCTGGCAAGGTGGCTGTGGGAGGGCATGTGATAGAAGCAGAGAAATATATTGGTATGAAAAGCTGAATTCCTTGACACATATTGCACTTAATAGATTGCTTTAACATGGCTGTAATTTTATTTATTTTAAATCTGAAGCCCCAACAGTTTTGACAGATGTGGCTGAATCAGACCCCGTCATGCAAAAGGAGATCTTTGGTCCAGTTCTTCCTATTTTGACTGTAAACAATGTGGATGAGGCTATTAGTTTTATCAATAAGCAAGAAAAGCCCCTCTGTGTGTATGCATATTCCACCAACGGCAAGGTAGGTCTACGAGGCAAATTGAACAGGGGGGGGAAACTGAAGCCAGAATTCATTGTAGGATTTATTCTGATCATGTGGTGGCTTTTCTGACACTGCAGGTAATTTCAAGACTCATGAGTGAGACCTGCAGTGGAAGCTTCTGCTCTAATGATTGCATCCTGCAGAGTGTGATGGTGGCTCTACCTTTTGGTGGAGTAGGTAAGTCTAAGCTGCAGTAGTAGTATGGATGGTGGGACAGTCTGTAAGTGATCTGCCAGTCTGACCAACTAACCCCCCCTCCCCTCTTTGAAGGTGCCAGTGGAATGGGTTCTTTCCATGGCCGCTACAGCTTTGATACCTTTTCTCACAAGAAATCCTGTCTGCTACGAAGCGCACGGTTTGAATGTGTGACCTACCTGCGCTATCCACCCTTCGAGGACCGCAATCTGTCTCTAATGACATGGGCCAGCAGCCTTTCCCAGAAAAGCCAGGGCTGGTGCCAGATTATGTGACTGTGTGGGAGGGTAATGACAGCCATGCTGGAATTAAACAAACTGCCACTTTTGTTATGAGCAGGCCATGGAAGACAGAAGCGCATTATTATAGAATCAACAAGAATGGATTTCTATGGACAAAATTGTTAACTGTATATTAACTTGTCTAAATGTATGTTTGAAACTTATAGGACACAAATATTTTGGATGTACACTGTTTATTGTGACCTGTGTTTTTTTACATTAAATGTGGGGAAAATGCATTAAAATAAAAAACATTTATGTATTGTATTTATAGTTTGAATAAAGTATATGCATCTCAAAAGGTAATGCTTTTTATTTTAATCTTCATATGAGACTGGTCATTCTGGCCTCTTGTAGATTTTCTCTTCACTGCCCTCTTTCATAGATGCATATCTGGCGACTGTGAACAGGTAGTCACTTAACCTGAGTGGGAGGGAAAGGATATTTGTCAGCTATGTAGTAGAAGAAACTTCTTTTTTTTTTTTTTTTTTTTTTTTATAAAAAGGTACAACACTGACCTGTTCAAGAACTTGGCAACATCTGGATCTGCCTCGCCTGATCGCACAATTGGAGCAACGCTATGGGGAGGGGAACAGAATCAACTACAGATTACTTTGTCATTCAGGACGACCTTACATAGATCATACTAAAACTAACCTGCGCTCTGCTCGCCGACAGACTGTCCGAGCTAAGTGCAAAGCTGCGCTGCTCTTCCCACCAGACTGTGGAGGGGGAGAAAAAAAAACAACAGTATATATTAGTTCAACAGGGACATGCAAACATTTGTAAAAACGTGTGCAGCTTACTGGTAAAATGAAGCTGGTTAAAGGAGGGAGTTCTTCTGTAAACTCATCAATCCAGGTCTCCAAGTCCACAATTGGCTGTGCAATAAATTTTGTTCTCTCTTGCAAAAAACAGAATAAAGTGTGATCACGTGTGACACAATAAATAAAAACAGACTGACTTGATTAGCCAAAGCTATCATACTTATATGGCTTTCTCTTGCAGATGATCGAGGGGTAGCAATGTTGGAGCCCACATCTTGTAAAACGCACTGGATCTGTGGTGACAAAAGCCAAATGATGACAAACCTTCTCTCTGAATTTATGGTGTAGGAACTGAAAGAAGTTAAGAAATGCAGTATGACAAAATCAAACCTTGTCCAATTGATGAGTGAATGTATGACGTTTATCGAGGCAAAACTCTCTTGCCAGCCTGTAAAAGTTAAGAATGTAACTTTAGACAAGGCATATCATTAAAAAAATGCTAAAATGACATGCCATATTTGAATTGTAGAAATGTTACCCTATAGCTGATGACAGCTCGTCTGTATTCCCCAAGGCTTCAAAAATGTGATCTTCTTTTGGCCTTCTTTCTCCTGTAAATGTGCTTGAGAAACCTAAGAAGGAATCAAGACAAAGTTTTTCAAAATATTGCTTATTCCAAAAGTACAGTGCGGTATTGTTGTCTGAGTTACAATGATAAATAACCTTTGTCTCCTGTTTTGGTGTATATTTTGGGCACCCTGTTGTCCTCACCAGTGGCATAACTGTTTTGAAAAAGAAGGATATTAAAGGAAAGGTGTTTAAGCATTTTTATATATTCACCAAACACTATATTAGGTACATCTTGCTTTAATCGGTTTGGTCCCCTCTCCTGTCTTCAGAACCTTAATTCTATGTGGCATAGATACAACAAGGTGCTGGAAACACTCCTCAGAGATTTTGATCTATATTAACATCACACAATGATGCAGATTTGTCAGCTGCCACCACAACCACATCTTAAAGGTGCTCTACTGGATTGAAATCTGGTGACTGCAGAGGGCATTTAAGTACAGTGAACTCATTGTTATGTTCAACAAACTAGTTTGAGATTATTTGAGTGGTATGGCACATCAACTTATCCTGCTGGAAGAGGATCGGTACACTTTGGTCATAAAGGGATGTCATTGTCAACAACAATACAGTACCTAACAAAGTGACCATTGAGTTGAATTCTGTTGTATTTTTAGGAACGATCTGTATGGCAGATGCCAACCAGCAGTTGCTAGTTACACAGACAGTTACACGAACAACACGAACAGAAGCACAACACTGTGCACACCAACGCTGACACAGGACTGTACAGTATAGCTACCTTCTGACTGAAAACAGGGTAAACAACGGTCTCTTTGCCCGATACTCGCTAATGAACCTGCATGTCCCTGGAACGCCGCGAAGGAGAGAATGTCTGAAAACAAGCGATGTCATTTTTAGCTACAACACAGTATCGACAGCAGCAAGGGTAAACGACAGAATTGTCCTTTTTGTCCATCCGTGGTGTCCGTAGTTCATAGGCGTTTCCATTTCATCGCATGATTGGCCAACTCACCCGGTGGTGGCAAAGTTCTGAATGCTGATTGGCCAGACGAAAATATGCTCGACCAGCTGAAGGGGAGTTGATTGGACACAGGAAATCCTCGCTCGTCCCTCGTCCCGTGTGTCAGGTCACGGTTTAACACTCTCAGATACTCGTGAAGAGAATGTAGCGTTACTCCATGATTTTTTTAAATCACAAAATTAATTTGTAAAGTTATTAACAGTCATTAATGTTCGCGTAAAGGACGGTGCTGTGGAACTAAGCTGTCTACGGCTTCTTGCCTGTTCAGCGGATTAACATTAGCTAAGCTAGCTGTTATTAATGCTGTCAGTGAAAAGTTGAACTGAAGCAATTGAGTTACGTAGATTTGGGCATATTTTGTGCTCTGCTCTGGAAGCTTTTACAGAAATGCAAGTGACGGACCTTTACGTGTCAGCTCCTGGAAAGGCGATCCTACACGGAGAGCATGCAGTCGTTCACGGAAAGGTAAGCTCTGAAGTGATACCATAATGACATTTAATGCACCAGTCAGCATCTTAGCAAAAATATGACTAATTAAGATTTATCAAACAACCGGTCCAATTGCAAAAGTGTCATTTTATATTTTAATATTTACCCCGTTATCATAAAGCTACAGCATGTCTTTGATGAAAAGGTTAATAACCAAAAATAAAAAAAGAGGAGATTTTATTTATTTATCTCTTTAACATTTTGCTTGTTCTAATGTTGCTTCATGGCAGGTGGCTCTTGCTGTGAGCTTAAACTTGAGGACATATTTGCGATTGAAAGCCGATACTTTTGGCAAGGTTTGCATCAACCTGCCCAATATCGACACATTCCTCAGCTGGGACCTTTCACAACTGAAGCAGCTTGTTACTTATTTCCATGGTAAGGTGCATCAGAGGTGCTCCTGCAAATTCTGTTTTTATGATATTGCGTGCAGTTCAAGCATCCTACAGTGAAATTTTAGTACTGATACCAATTTTGGCCTAATGTTGGTGGTACAGCAGTATATCCACTGTAACACCAGTCTGTGTCTAAATGGGAGACAAAGGTGTTTAGTGTGGAAAAAGTAGGATATAAGTGCAACTCATTTACTGTATTTCCCATAATTATTTGAGAATCATTGCCAGTACTATAAACTCACCACCATCCAAAGTGATTAAATTTACAAGCTTCTGGGTCAGAAATATTTATTGAGTTTTTTTTGCAGCTGTAAATTTCCATTTACTGTCTTTTTATAATGTCAGCCTTTGGATGTGCCAACTAATGACAGTCTTAATTAACAGGTTTTTAAGTAATTTGCTAGATTAAACTATATGCTTTGGTTTTGTACAGTTACAGATCAAAGTGCATTGGTGTGATATACCTTTTAATTGATGTTATTAGGTAAGAGGGATGAGGTGCAATGCCTGGATGCTGAACTTGTGAGGAGACTGCGGGAATTTATTGGCGTAAGCAATGGAAGCTTGGATACTTGCAGCATGGCCACCTTATCCTTCCTTTACCTCTACCTGTCGCTGTTTGGATCAGGGTGAGAGAGAGGACTTCTTCTCATCATTTGCACATCTGTAGCCATTTTTGTCACAAAGGCATCAACAAATTGCAGGTGTCCATTCCATCCATTCGCTACCGCTCAAATTGCAGGTGTATATATGAAAATGTTCTCTCTATGCACATAGGAAAGTAATAACTCGTACCTTTTTAAAAACCTGTAGTCAATCACTCACTGAACTCTTTAAAAAATATCGGTACTTCATTCTGAGACAGAGCGTTACAGTGTAAAATGTAACATTATTTTAGAAGGAACATTTTGTGCTGAGTAACAGGAAATCTGTTATCATGACTCTTGTGTACTTTTCTAGGAGTAGTGGGGGTTAAAGGTCATTTGTCTAAAGCAGTCAAAGTCTTTGATGTTTAGTAAGTACAGGATAGTAATTATGTTATATTTCTGTTATAACATCTGAAAAAAGATGAAGTTTCATTTCTATATTAACTCACAGGTTACACAAGTGTTAAAGGCAAACTCTCAAAAGTAAACACTCAAAAGAGAAGTCCAGTAAAAATGATGAAAGACTGCAGCTGTAAACTCATTGCCCAGAGGTGGTGCAACTGAAAATGGCTGCAGCTATTACTTTCCCCACCTACTGGTGATTCAGACAGTGTGCAGACAAATAATGACAAATGACAAAATGACTCTGTCTTGTTTAAACTCTACAGTCTTTCTGTGTGTGTGCATGCGTGCGTGCACGTGTGTGTTTGTGAGTGTGTGCATGAGAGTGCGTCAGGGAGGGCTATTTATTGTGTGTACCATTGTATTCTGTGGCGTATAATAGTGGGGTTTCTTGCATTTCAGATTTTATTGTTTGCCCAGTGATAACTCTGTTTATATTTAGATGTCCCTATTAAAATGATATACACATTACAGTAGATTGTATTAGTTTTGGTTTTGTGCCCACTTGCAATAAATGTAGTTTTAAGTTCAATTTCCAAACATCTAAGTTACCAGTGAAGTAGATTAGGTTCAGGGAAAAGTTTCTCTTCTTTAAAATGAAGATGCTAAAGGTATTGGTTGGATGTTAGTATTAACTGCTTCGGCAGCTGTTAACAGAAAAGATGCTGAGGAGCATTAAGCTGCAGGTTGTTGGGAGGTTTAATCGGCGTTGACAAGGCGGTGGCATGTCTGAGAGAGGTGATGGGTTGTGACAGGATCCCCGCTAATGAGCGTCTGGCACTGAGCCAGTCTGTGCCCTAGTGCCTGTATGCATTTTCCTCTAAAGAGAAAGAAGAGCTGGACATTTAGTTTACAGTATTCACCTCTGCCCAAAAGCAGCGTCCCTGACAGGCATTGACAGAAGTGTCAAGTTTCTGTTGAATGTAGTAGTGTACATGTGTGCTGTAAGAGTCACATGACTGTACAGAAGGCAATATCACATATTATGTACTTTACTTAATGAAGTATACTCTATATATTAAAAATGACTGATAGCTGATTGTAAATGAGAAGTAATCAGTAGGATTTTTAAATCTACAGTGATGCTCACAGGTTGTGTTCATTCTAATTTTGGGGATACAGTTGCAAATTTCTATTATCTGCAACTATTTTTTTACCGTTTCAGTGCATATGCAGTCAAAAGTCATACATATACACAATTTAAATTCTATAAAAGCAGTTTCTGTATTTGTTTTCTCAGTGAGCTGCCCAGTTTGACGCTGACTGTGTGGTCAGAGCTGCCTACTGGAGCAGGACTCGGGTCAAGTGCCGCCTACTCTGTGTGTTTAGCTGCAGCTCTGCTTTGCGCAAGTGGAGCCATCCCCCCTCCTCTCAAAGAGTGGGAACACACTGCCAGGTAATGTTCAGGCCTCCATCTCCATCACGAGCTCTGTATGCGGTAGCTGTCAGCTGCCGTTTTGTATAGGCGTCACGGCAGGGCTGCAAAAATGGGACAGCAAGCGTAAAATTTTAAATTACACATCACACAATGGAAATGGTGTCACACAGGCTTTTGGTTTGAAGTTGAAGGTGAGGCCTTAAATTATAACATTCAACTTGTTAAAAAGAAAAATTAATGGATGGGTTTGGTCAGCACCACAACACAACTTGTATTGCAGTTCACAATACAAAAGATATTGCATTTTACACCAGTACTTTTAACATTTTCTGGCTAAATTTCCAGATTTTATAACAACTGCCTCTTATTTTTTAAAAACTGTCTCGTATATAATCGTTTTAGGATTTTGACACTTCTTCCTTTTATTTTGGTATGACTGGTGTCAGGTGGTGTCAGGAGGAACTGGAGCTAATCAACAGTTGGGCTTTCCAAGGGGAGATGATCATCCACGGTAATCCTTCAGGAGTGGACAATGCTGTAGGAACGTGGGGTGAGGCATTAAAATGTGTAGCTTGTTACACCTTCCTTCATTTTTGTACCGCACTCTTTCATGTACTCATCAGAGTTTTGCACCATCATTGTTCATTGTTATCTGATTATTGTGATTTTAATGATTCATCTTTGGTTTACGTAGGCGGCATGCTCAGATTCTTGGCTGGAAAGATAATACCACTGAGCAGGTACTAAAGAAGGATTATTAATTAGATTTTATTTAAAGGGTCAATTAACAAACTCATTGTCTGGACAAAATTAATACGTCAGTAAAGCACCTGAATAATACGTCTGAATGAACCCTCTGATCTGTCTGTTTTACTTCCAGGGTGCCGTTATTAAGAATCCTCCTCACTAACACCAAAGTACCACGAAGCACCAAGGTACTTGTTGCCGGGGTGAAGGACAAAATTAACAAGGTACTAAATGGTTTCTTCCTCCCCCGTGTGTTACTTGCCGACACTGTAATTAATATAATAGGCGGTGCTTTTGCTTGGCAGATACTCCTGCGTGTGGTGTTGAGTGCCTTCATAAAATATTAAAATTAAACTCTTAGCCGGCACCCCTGTGCGCTGTTGCCTTGGTGACACCAGCAGGTGTGCAGATTTCTGTCTGAGACAGAGAATTCGGCCTGAATGGTGTTGTGACGGTGTTGTGATCAAGCTAGAGCACAAGTCAAACCTGCCATCCCAGAATCTGTATTTGTATGCAGCTTATCCATCAGAAAACAGCCATTAAAAAAAAATATGTGTGTACAGATGTTATTGTATTGCACGAGTGATGTTGGAAAAGTTAATCTCTTTGGGTTTTGTGTTCCCCTCCTGTAGTTTCCATCCATCATGGTACCTGTTCTTGACTCGGTTGATGCCATTTCATGCACTTGTGAAAAGGTCCTCTCAGAGATGACCTGCGAGCCCATCACAGGAGAGCATTACAATATTCTAGAGGTACAAATATTAGTTGATTTTGTGAAGCAGTTTGCATTATAAACATGTCATTAAATGTCAGTGTTACTTCTTTTTGAAAGTCTGCTGCATCTAAAATAAATAATGTAATAGATGTATTGTGGAGTACTGTACAAGT